TGCGGACGATTAATCGGAATTTGGCGGAAATATAATGTTTTGAAAATATATGTACATAGTTGATAATAGTTTTCCCTTTTTGATAAACAAATGCATATAACTAAATATATTCCTTCTATATATCCTTAAATAGAATAACCATGTATGACATTTAAATAAGTTCATAATGGATAGCTGTTACTATATATCTCAATTCTCACGTAGTGATGGGTTTTGTTCATAATGCTTGAAATGATTATCAAGAGAATGTTACATAGCATAGATGACCGTAATCAAGGTCCCAAATAACATATGTATCGGTTACCTCGAAGAGCTTCATCAAATACAAACTCCAATAACGTGATTATCATCAAAATCAAGGAACTCATGTTCAAACTTTAGAGGAAGTCAGTTCCTTGTCATTTTACATCTTGCTGCCTTGTGAGAATTTTGGAAGAGCTTGTAGTCAGTAGTAGTAAAGGGCACAGCTAACAACCATCATCACGCCGACGATTATACAGCTGATTAGACGGAGATGGACGATTTAATCGGTAATGAGCAGATTTATGCGTTCGTTACCGACTAATTATGACCGCATCGGCGTGACGTGATGGTCTGATCTCCGTATTCGTATTATCGGACGTATTAACGGCCATTAACACCGTTTTCCACAACACTGATAGAAACTTCCGCTGTGTATTAATTAATTAGTTAGGTGAGTACCTATTATTCTAAAACCCTTAGTATTGTAAAACTTTAACGTATGCAATGAAGAACCAGTTATATTGTATGTACCAATATTTACTGATCTAGGGATTGATACATTATCTTAGTCGGATCCTAGTTGTTAGTTCTGGATTCCGACATATTATTTCTTAATTGTACTTCTATATGGACTCTATACTCTACTTCTAATATTCTTTATTTTTAATTCTGAATTTCTATTATTCCTTAATTGTATTTCTATATGGACTATGTACTCTACTTTTAATATTCCTTATTTTTAGTTCCGAATTTCTATTGTTTCTCAATTGTATTTCTATATGGACTATAGTCTCCTCTTCCAATATTCCTTATTTTTTTAATTCTAAATTTCAACTATTTGTAAATTGTATTTCTATATGGACTCTGTTTTTCTTTTTCTCCGATTAATGTGGGAATTTCTAGGCCGTGAGAACGAACATGGAGGCTCCTTTTTCTATTCCTTTAATAAGTCAATAGATTGATAGTCCAGTTTTAAAAGTTGGATCAAATGCTACAAACGTCGAATACTTGTGAGAGTAATAGATACCACTATTAGCTATAAGGAAAAAGTACGAATTACCCCCCTAAACTATTGTGGTCGACCGAATTTCCCCCCCTAAACCTAAAAACTAGACATTACTCACCCTAAACTTTCAATACCGGACGAATTACCCCCCTCGATCAAATCTAGAGCAGTTTTGTCCTACGTGGCGTACGCGTGGCAACCCAATCAGCATTTTCCCTTTTCTTAACATGGTGGGGCCCACTTGTCAATCTCTCCCATCTCCTTTTTCCTCTTCCCCTCTTCCTCTCTCTCGTGACTTCAGGCACGGCCGCGCGGGCGGTCGGCATGCGAGGGGGCGGTGGGCGGCAGCGCATCGTCAGGCGCTGCCGCGCGGGCGGTGGGCGGTGGCGCGGGTATTCAATTACGGATAGTATGGGCAATCTAGTAGTTAGCCAAACTAGTGAGGAAACAACAACATATTATCAAGAAAACATTCACATCACGAAGACGAGGAAATCGGAAGAACACCTAGAGTCTCCTGAACGCGTCGGACATGGCGTCAGGCCGGCCACACACGGCACATCCAATCAAAGTACTCCACCGCCTTCTTGCAAAGACCGACATACTCAGGCGTCAGCGCCGGAAGAGGAGGCTCGTCCTAGGGCGTCGAGGGATACCGGCGAAGCGGTCGGCAGACATCGCCCTGCCATGGAGGCCGCCGCCACCGCCGCGGGAGCTCATGATGTTCCCCGTGGCCACTGCAGTGGGAGCGTACTGGCCGGAGGCAGGAGGAGAGGGCTCGCCGGAATCTCCGCGCGCTCACCTCGTGCACCCAACCGCACCCACCACAGCACCCTCCAGGCCGCCTGCCGCGCTCGCCTTGTGCACCCAGCCGCGCCCGCACCCTCGCTTGCCGCCGCCCCCTCCCGGCCGCCCACCGCAATCGCCTCGTGAACCCAACCGCGCTCGCCTCGCCCTCCCAGCCACGCTCCCTCCTCGCCACCCGCTGCTGTCTGGAGCCCACAGACCGGTTCCCCCTCCTCGTCGCGCCTACCACCGCTCGTCAACAAGCTCCGGCCACCACTCCTCTCCGTCTTCGCCTCGCTTCTCCGCCGACATCCCGCTCCCGCGCCACCACCCACCGCCCGCCATCGCGCGCCGCCATGAGCGTCGACCGCCCACAGCCGCCCTTGCGTGCTGACCGCCCGCGCGGCTGCGCCTGACGTCGCGAGAGAGAGAGAGGAAGAGGGGAAGAGGAAAAGGAGGAGATGGGAGAGAATGACAGCTGGGCCCCACCATGTTTAAAAAAAGGAAAATGGTGACTGGGTTGTCACGCGTACGTCTCGTAGGACAAAACTGTTCTGAATTGGGTCAAGGGGGGTAATTCGTCCAGTATTAAAAGTTTAGAGTGAGTGATGTCTGGTTTTCGGGTTCGGGGGGGAGGGGAATTTCGGCCGACCGCGATAGTTCGAGAGGGTAATTCGTACTTTTTCCTAGCTACAAATACACTTCCATATCTTATAGAGATAACTATAACATATTATCAAGAAGGTTATTGTCTCTTATTACCTCTAACTATTATCTTTTCGTCTCCTTTTCTTTCTTTTCCCTTCGTTCTCTCTCTCAGCGCAGCATGCAGAGTTGGTTTTTTAAGGAAAAAGCACGAATTACCCCTGCGCTATTACGTTTGTTCGATTTACCCCCCTAAAGTATAATACCAGACATTTTTAACCCTAAACTTTCTAAGCCGGACAAATTACCCCTCTAACTCAGCTCGAAGTGGTTTTAATCCTACATCCGTACACGTAGCAGTCCAGTCAACCAAAAAATAATAAAAAACAGTGGCCCTATTTGTCAGCATCTTCCTTCTCCTTTCTTCCATTCACTCTATCTCTTTCTCTCTCAGAAAAGAGCAGGAGGAACGGTAGCAACGGCGTCACCAGCGTGGGAGGAGAGGAACAGCAGGCGACCGAGACGGCACGCGTTAGGGGCGGCGGATGACAACGCAGTAGTCTAGACGAGGGCCGCTGGCAGAAGCTGCGGTGGCAGCGTTGAAACGGGTCGGCGGCGGGCGGCGCTTGGCAACGCGACAGGCGGTAATGGCACGTGAGACGAGGGCGACGAGGAGGGACGCGGCCTCGGCTTCCATTGTAGCGCGGGAGGGCGGCGGGATGTCGTCATCGTCCTTGATGTGGCCGGTGAAGACGACGTCATCGGTCTGTGGGAAGCCATGCCAAAGAACCACACCACCGCCACTCCGCGAGGATCGCCGCACTGAGCTCCACCGCCATGACGAAGACTTCCTGAAACCTGCAGATGCCCGTCCTCAGGACCACCTGCATCACGATCTCGACCACGCAGTCCATGGACGCCGCCGCCGCCACGGCCGGCCGCCCGACCAGCCGCCGTCTTGAACGCCGGTAGCAAGCTAGCACACTCGTCCAGCTAGGCTTATGTGAGCCTGGATCTGAGCTAGGGGAAAAGCGCCCAGTTCAATGTTAGCTACTCCCTTCGTTTTAGGTTACAAGAGGTTTCGACTTTGATCAAAGTAAAACTGTTTTAAGTTTAACTAAGTTTGTAGAAAAAATAATAACATTTTTAACACAAGACAAATTTATTATAAAAATATATTCAATTATTGATTTAATGAAACTAATTTGGTATTATAAATATTACTATATTTGCCTATAAACTTAGTTAAATTTAAATTAGTTTGATTTTGACAAAAATCAAAACATCTTATAATCTGAAATGAAGAGAGTAACTTCTTGCCTTGCGATGGTAGCGGGTAGAGAGAGGGGGGGATAAGGAGAGAGGCAGAGAGAAGAGAGATAGGCAAGTGGGTCCCATGATCTTTTTCTAAATATTGCTGACTGGACTGCCACGTATATGCCACATAGGATCAAAACCACTACGGATTGAGCCGGGGGGTTATTTGTCCGGTTTCAATAGTTAAGGGTGTAGAATGTCTGGTATTAGAGTTTAGGGGTGTAATTCGGTCGACCGCGATAGTTCGAGGGAGTAATTCGTACTTTTTCCATTTTTAGTGGCATCTCACTCTCCTGTCCTTTTGCCTTTAAGCTCCACGTGTACAAAAATGTGATATAGGTTGATTGTAAGGCGCCCAGTGTTGTATTTGCTCTAAAAACAGCACTTGTATTCAACTCCACATGTGCATCATCAAACAAAAAATAATTTAAAGGAGTATGTACCTTCTCCATCTTTTGTGGTAAGATGAAAAGCAACCCTCCAAACACTTGCAAATTAAGAGGAAAATGAGCACCACTGCACATATTAAAAAACTATTACATAACTTTTACAAACAAAGCTTCTAACCCTTCTATTTAACTAGATGATAGTTACAAAAAATCTAGATTTACTCACTTGATCACATATTAGTGTTTGTAAGAATATTGTATGTATATACTTTTCTGAGAAAAATATGCTAAGGATACAAAGAGTAAACTAAATTAAAAAAAGTAGTCAATGTGTGCACAGTTGACATACATTTATCCTGATCATCATGTAAAATAAATTTGGAAGGGGCAATTTGCAAGAATTATATCACTTTTGTGATTAAATAGATTTTATCTATTGGCATATTGTGACTTTTGTACTTCTGGACAGAGAATGGAAAAATGGGAAGAAATTCGAAATACCGAGAACATGTCAGCGTTAAGTGGGGAGTGGAGACGTACTAGCTCTGATGAGCATGTGTTGCTCAGGTTTTCTCAATATCTCAAACTTATATTATTTCACAAAGTCAACGTCAATATCACAATAACCCGTTAATTATATTGCTGAAATATTTTGTTAACAAAGTTCCTAAAAGATTCAAGCATTCCAAAGCAAATTCTGTATGAATATTGCCGCGCCGATTAGCAGGGCATTGCTTACCAAATGAGGATAATAAAATTGGTCATATCCTACATGCACGTCTCCATCACAATCCCACAAAGGGAAATTCTCGATTGGATATATGATCTTAGCTACGAATGATCATGACGTACACCCACGTAAACGCCATTAATCTTAGTTCACCTTCCGGCAGTTCAGCCTGACCTCCGTCGGCGTCCCGGCCGCCGGCATGAGGCCGCCCATCTTCACCATCGCCTTGGCGAAGTCGCCGGCGAACATGCCGGCGTTCCCGGCGTACTTCCTCACCAGCGCGTCCTGCGACCCGCCGTTGAACAGCTCCTGGTCGGAGTGCAGCAGGCCGCGCTGCGCCACCAGGTTCTTGAAGTAGGCGTTGTCGAACGCGTCGGGCGTCTGGTCGTCGAACGGCGCTAGGTTGCCGTCGCCGCCGCCGGACTGCGGGCACGTCTGCCGCAGCGCGGCGGCGAACGTGGCGTTGATGTTGGCCTCCCCGTAGATGCGGCCGCGGAACATGAGGCAGCGCGCCCGCCCCACGGTGTGCGCCCCGGACAGCGCCGTCATCTCGCGCGCCGAGAGGCCCTTCCCCGCGAACGCTGCCACGAGCGACGCCCCGCTGGACGCCGGGCCGGGCAGGTTGGCGTTCGCCGCGGTCCCGCTCGCCGTGCGCGAGTCCTTCCTGCCCAGCTGCACGTTCCACGTCGGTCCCCCGAGCTGCAACGCAGATTATTGCAATCAAGATTATTCAATGTGCACTGTGTCACTATGACGTCTACACACACTCGTCTCGTGTGTTCACTGACCAAGTTTACGGCGTCGCGAGACGCCAGCGCGACGATATCGGCGCAGGAGACGACGCCCTTGCAGGCCGCCTCGACCTGGGACTTGATGGCGTCGATGACCTCGTACCCGCGCACGGAGTTGATGTTGGCGCCGGCGTTCTTCTCGCCTGTGAACGTCAGCGTGTCGTCGAGGAGGATGGACGCGTCGCACCCCTGCATTCGCCAAAAAAACGTAACGCACGCGTGAGCGTGACTCGACCATCTCGTCAGCTAGAGATCATCATCAGAACAAACGCGACGACTGACGTACGTTGACGAAGCAGTCGTGGAAGAAGAGGCGGATGATGGAGGCGCCCATCCGGGGCTCCTTGGCGACGGCCTGCGCCACCACCGACCGCACGATGGTGTCCACGCCGGGGCACGTCTTGGCGTAGAACTTGATCGAGAGCCCCGCCTTCGCCGCCTGGCACGGCGCCAGCAGCACGCACGCCAGGAGGGCAAGAGCAACAAAGCTGTAGCCGCTGCTCCTGGCAAACAAGAAACCCATCGTGATCATGCAGCTAAAAATGGCTGGATTGGATCTAATACACTCTTGCAAGCTAGCTACTCGTACTTATAGTAGTAGCAGTAGTATAGTGGCTAGTGCACGATCGTGTTATTAGTGGCGGGCATCTGATCTCTGCTGCTACAAAAGTGCAAGCAAGGAACCGCACGTAGCTAGTAATGTCTGCCGCACTTGGTGATTGGTTGACGATCGACGCGATCGACGCGCGCGAATGGTGGCTGTCGTCTCGAGGGGGAGGGACGTAGTACGTACTTGCGGCGTTGCCGGTGGTGGTGCGCGGCGCACCATGGGATGGGATTGATTCAGATTGGTGTGGTGCCTGGCATCCACGATGCCGGATCGAGCGTCCTCGCTTTTGGGGAACAGAGGGGGAGGGCACCATCGCGCTTTGCTCGCTAGCTGATCTCTTTCTTTCTTCGCGTCTTTGCGTGATGTGTGCGAAGGTTCGGAACATGATAAGAAAGCGGCCGGCCGTGCCTAAAACGCTGCGTTTTGGGGTGCCCTTTTTGCAGTTTTGCTCGAAACTGTATGTTAGTGGGTTTCTGGCTCTCTAGCTCCATCGGGTTTCTAGTCGTCTAGCCAGGGGGTGATATACAAATGAAATTGTGATGCCACATGGGGGAACAAATTAAAGGCAGCTCAACTCAAAGGGCATTGCGGATTCAACTAACCTAAAAGTCACGACCAATGTCTTGCGCTAGCTAACTCATTCCATGAGACTGGTTACTTAAGGATTGTGGACATCGCGGACGGTTAGGGCCACATTATGATACCCAAAGGACAGGTACCAAATTAAAAACTTCGATAACAATTCAGAATTGTATAACAATTGGTATAGCTCACCATACATCTACTAATTAAACCTATGGAGGAGGCCTAATTAAACCTATGGAGGAGGCCTCATATAACTTACTACTGACGAATCTGGACATATTATTTAATCTATACAAACATTCATGAATAACTAATATTATTAACTACATATGTTTCACTTTGAGCACAAAATCTATCTATCTATCTATTATCTATCTATTATATACTAAAAGTCCATTAAACTTCCTACAAACGCTCTCAAGCCGCCACGTGGCGCTCTAATAAATTAGAGAAAATCCTAGAAATTCTAAGAAAAAATTAAAACATCTACCCCTCGATTTTCACTTAAATTGGTGGGTCCAATATTATACACTGTTAGATGAAATTGATCTTAACACAAACCAAATACTATGTGTCCCACCTCTCCTCCTTCTCCCACGCATATGTACGTATACGTATGTATACTTCCTTCCTTTTCTTTTTCATTTTTTCTTCTTTTTTTCCATTTATATAATGGATATATATATTTTTTTAAATAATCGATCATAATTTTACAAAGAAAGAATTTACCATCGTACAACTCACATGTAACTAAATTAGCTCTACAATATTTGAAAGTAAAATTTACACCATTATATGTTACCCATTAAATTAATAATGTAAGATAATTTCCACTTAAACCGATGTACTCATTACTTTGTACTATTATTTAAAAATAATGCACTATTTTAAAATAAAGTTTACACAATTATATTGTGCACCTATCAAATAAACAATTTAAGATCTATATACGTGCACTAAACCGATGGACCCATTATTTAAATCATCGTATCTATTTTTTATTACATTGGACTCTTGCTCTCAAATAATACACTGTTTCAAAATAAAGTCTACACCATTATATTGTATACCCATTAAATTAACAATTTAAAATATATATTAACTAATTTACACTTATACTAGAACCGATGGACCCATCATTTAAATCATCGGATCTATTATTTGCAAATAATAAAGCGTCCAAAGTTCTCTTTTGGCCCATTGCACAATGCACGTCTACACCTTTACCTTTCGCACACGTGACAAGCGTTGTGTCTGAGACATTTAAGGTGATCACGACCGCTGCAACGCTATTGCTTTGCCACATATCAAATCATATATGGAGATCATTAATTTTGTTAATAACATGAAAAGAAAATTAAAGGTGTGATGCAACGAGAGAAGAATTATGCACCGTGGGTTGTGTTTTTTCCAGCACTTAGTTCTGTTTAAGCTGAATCTGAGAGTTGGTTACAGAATAATTATAATGTATTATGTTATGTCGTATTTGGATTTTGTACTATTTGTTCGTATAGGTGAAAGAAATCATTATGTTATAAATATGAGCATAATATTAACGAATAACAATAGAACTCTTACTAAGACAAGGTTGTTATAAGGGAGTTTATGACCCACTTTTTTTCCCCGATTCCATAGTTTTGATTTTTGTTTGCACACTTTCCAAGTTTCTAAATAGTGTATTTTTAAACGATAATTTAACTTTCTAGAACCTAATTCATTTGTTTATATCCTCAAATAGCTATCACATAAATCAGATAATTCATCAATTTAACCTGTCCAACACTTTTTTTTCATGCGAGTCATGGTGATCAGTAAATTAGGGATCAACCGATAATCAAAGTCGTAAAATGAATATGTAAGAGCTACTATGCACAACTGTAAATAGGTGTCAAAATTAATTGTTATTAATTAGACACATAATTAATTTCTTATATAAACATGGATGAAGCTGGAACAAATATTACCATATGCCCCATACATATATATTACATGGTTAATATTCTAATTATATGTGTTAAGTCCTTAAAAATTCCTTAAAATGCTCTCAAGCTGCCACATGGTGCTCTAATAAATTAGAGAAAATATTAGAAATTCTAAGGAAAAAAAAGTAAAGTATCTATTACTTGATTTTCACTTAAATCGGTACGTCCAATATTATAAACTGTTAGATTAAATTGATCTTAGAACAAACTAAATACTACGAGGTCCTATCTCTCCTCCCGCGGCATAGGTACGCACCTACATACGTGGGTATGTACGCTTTCCCTCCCTTTTTTTTTCATTTTTCCCTTTCTTCTTTTTTTCCATGCATACGCTTCCCTCTCTTTCTTAATATATCTTGCGCCTTCATGAGATGATTTAATCCCAGGAATTTTGAGTATCTTGCTCTCGCATTTTTTATTTGTGGCCATACTACATGATATGTATATAGATGGACTGCATTGATAATTAACTAGTAATAGTTTCTTATTTAGTAAAAAAAACATGATTCAAAAGTCGTAAGTACTTAATCTATCTCCTACTCAAAATTTTGTGAATGGTTTTCTAAGATATCTTAAGAGAAATAGAACCCTTAAATTATTATGAAATAACATTATATGAGATGAAATTTTTGAGCAAACAATAATCGTAACTTTCAATAATATAAGTGCCCGCGCATGCGCGCGGGCCACCTTCCTAGTTACATACAAATGATTATATTACATTATAATAAATGGAAGTTATATATATAGTTATATATTTTTTAAAAAAAACAATACAAATGAAGACGATCATATATATACATATGTATCCATTCACCTATATGAATGCATGCATGTACGCTTCAACCGTGTGAACACGGGGGCTCCTGTTCCGCGCGTATGCGCCAGGAACGGAGGCGGCGCGTATTTTGACGGCACTAAGAGCGTTTAGTGCTAACTAACAGCGCTTAGCGCTAACTTTTTTTGTTTTTTGGGATAAAAATTCGTCACGCGTCTTTCTTCCTTTTTTTTAAGTTGACTGAAACAAACTTTTAATTCCAGATTTGAACTTAGATTTAAAAATTTCAAGTCAAGATTTGAATACTTTCATCTTAAATTTAAAAAATTTTCAACTCAGATTTTAAATATGAGTTAAAAGTTTTCAAACTTGAGTTAAGTTTTTAAATCTTGACTTAATTTTTTTTAAAATTTGAGTTGAAAGTTTCAAATTTTCATGAAAGTTTTCGAATCCGAGTTGAAAGTTTTCAAGTCTAAATTGAAAGTTTTCAAATCCGAGTTGAAAGTTTCTAAATCTGAATTGAAATTTTTCAAGTATGAATTGAAAGTTTTCAAATCTGAGTTGAAAGTTTTTAAATCCGAGTTGAAAGTTTTCAAGTTTGAATTGAAAGTTTTTAAATCCGAGTTAAAAGTTTTTAAATCTCGACTTGAAAGTTTTCAAATCTGAGTTAACATTTCAAAAAAAAATCTTGATTTGAAAGTTTTAAATCTTGACATCTATTTCTACACACGTGTAGTAATCAACGGGGAAAAGAAAAAAAAGAAACGTGGAGGAAAAAAAAATAAATGCGGCTATTGCGCAACAAAAAAAAGGAAAAAAAAAGAACATGTGTGGCAATTGCACAAAAAAAAAGAAAAAAGAAAAAAGAAGCGCGTGTGGAAGTTGCGAAAAAAAGGAAACGCCCGCGTGAGGGTTTGGCGGCATGGACTGGAACTGGGCCATAAACGCGCGCCAGATATTTAGTTAGCGTGTCTGTGCGAATTAGCATTCTCATGTGAACACCTCCGAATATTAGGCCTTCAACTTGAACACGTGTGGATACGTCCACTATAAGGAGCCTAACTAATTATTCTAGCTCACTATATTTATGACAATGCACACTTTGTTAACATGACATTTTTTTTCAAGCATTATAATTTATTTTGAAAACATAGGGAATCAAAATTCAAATTTAAATAGTGCATTAATAATTATTTAAAAATGGGCACCACTATAGACCACTCCATTGGTGTCGGTTAGGAACCCCTTATAGGTATCGATTTCCTAAATGGTACCAATTTAGGGGCACCTTTCCCGTCCATATAGGTGCCAGTTATACAGATAGAACCAACACCTATAATCTTAAAAAAATAAATAAAATGATTGTATGATGCTCGAATCAACTGTAACCCGGCTCAAGTGCCCCCGGATTCCTAGCCCTGCAATTTTCTCATCCACATTACAAATCAATAAGAATATGATAGCATATGCACACATCAACAACAAAAAAGCACATCACATATCAAGAAGACAAGAACAAGCTAATCACATCCCAGATCAGAACAATTCACATAGATCAAAATCTTCCGCCATACCCAACCATTACATGCCCAACATATCAGACTCACCATCCCAGTGGATGTGGATCTGCTACCGTCGTCATCGATTCCCTTGCTGCTTATCTCCTTCGAGCCGTCGCTGCCATCATCTCCTTCCAGCCAGACCA